ATCTACAGAAAACCGAGCAGGTGTCAATAGCAGAAGTGGTCAGAGGAGTGATTGAGAGGAACAAGAAAGATCTCCTGGGGCAGAGAAGAAAGGTGAGAAGTTCTGAAACAATAGGAGGTACAAGAGGAGCAGGCCAGAACAGCAGGGTCATTCAGCAGCATAGAGTGAAGACTCAGCACAGGGACAGGGATTCATGGACCAGATTCTAACCTCCAGGGACACCAGATTTGAAGAATTGTAATACAAATGAGGGAACTAGAAACAAGACCTTGGAACACAGGAACTTTTATCCCATGGTGACATCAATGAATGTTGTAAGAAGTAGTTAGATTCTGGTTATAAACAGAAGGTAGAGCCGAGATGTTTTGTTGAGAGTTTGGAGATGGGATGTGAGAGAAAAAGAAGAGTCAAGAATGACTTTGAAGTTTTTGCATGAACAGCTGCAAAGACTTCAGGTGGAGCAGGTTTTCCGGGAAGATCGGGAGCTCAGTTTTTAATATACAAAGCTTGACATGCCCACTGGTCATCCAAGTGAAGATTGTAAGGAAACAGACAGATATAAGAGTCTGAGTTCAGGAAAGAGGAGCATCCTGAAGATAAAAATTTGGGAGCCATCAGCATATAAATGATGTTTAAATCATAAGACTGGATGAGTTTCCTTACAGAGTCAGAAAAGATAAAGAAGTCCTGGGGCTGAGCCCAGGGGTACCCTAATACTTGAAGGTTAGGAAGAAAAGGAGGAACCAGCAAAAAGAGACTGAGAAGGAGCAAAATATTACTAGATATAAAAAAAATCACCAGGAAGATACAAAAATTCTAAATTTTTATACACCTAAAAAAATTATTTTCACGATTTGTATGTGGAGCAACTAGTAATATTGACACTGTTGCTGTGTATGTAAGTGTGGAAAAACTGTAATGCTGTTTGGCAATATCAACTGAAGCTGAATATATACATCCCATGGACCTGCAATTCCATTTCTAGGCATACGCCCAGAAGAAATATGTAAAATAGTCACCAAAAACACAAAAGTTTTTAAAAAAAATTATAAAAGCAATATTTGCAAAGGCATAAAATTGGAATCAACCCTAATGTTCATCAGTATTAGAATGGCTAATATTCCTAAAATGGAAACCTCTAGAGCAATTTAAATGAATCAGTTATTGGAAGATGGGGGAAAAAAAGGTCATCAAAAATATATAAAGCAAAAATTGACAAAACTAAAAGAACAGACATACAAATCCAAAATATCATAGTGGAAGATTTTAATGCACTTCTCTCAGTAGTGATGGAACAAAAAAACAAAACAGTGAGTATTTGGAAGAGTTGAACAATAGTATTGACAAATTGGATCTAATTGGCATCTTACAAAGAGAGGGCTAATGATAAAATATATAAGTATCATATAAAGATAACCATTTGCTCTAAAAACGTAAATTTTCCTAAATATCCAACAGAGGGTCAACAGCAATAGCAGGTAATCCTAGGATATGAGGAGCAAGCAAGGTGGTCTTACTGGAACCCAGGAGCTGGGGCAACTGATGGAAGCTGTAAACTCAGCAGATCTGTTCCAATAAGAGCTGGAGTCACAGGGAAGATTCAGCTGCTGCCTGAGGCAGAGGGAGATGGAGAGTGCCTTAACTTTACCCTTCCTCTTACCCTCCAATCTCTCGCCAGTGCCTCCCATTCCCTGAACCCAGCTGGAAGTTGATTGACAAGGTGGTATCTGGGAAATGAGCCTGCAGGGATCATCCCTCCTGTAATACAGAGCAGAGCACAGGAAAGACACTGATAGATGTGATAGAAACTAAGCAAATGGCCAGCACACTATATCCAATGCTTTGTACTTCATCCTGAGGGTAATGAGGAATCATTGAAGGATTTTAAGCAGGAAATCACAATCTGGTTGGCATTTCTAAAAGACTACATTGAAAAGTGAAATAGATGGTGGTGGAAAAAAGAGTTATGAAACTATTGCATTTGCCTAGGCAGAGATTACAGGGACCTAAACTAAAGTGGTAGCAGAGGAGAAGAGAGAAGTAGACTGATTTGAAACAAATTTAAAAGATAGTCTTGAGAGGACAAGAGGCTAAAATGATGTCCAAGTGTATGACAGGAGCGTGTCAAGGACAACTCCCAGCTATCTATTTTGAACAACAGGGGAAGATGGAAGATTCATTTTCTGTGATGGGAAAAACAATAGGAAGAACGTGTTTACAAGAAAGTTGGCGAGTTCAGTTTTGATGCCTGCAAGCCATAAAAATGGCGGAGCCCATTGGACAGTTGATTATCTGGGCCTGAGATTCACAAGTAGGATCTGAACTTGTATGTACATTTGGAAGCCATCGGCATATACCAGATATCTGAAACCAAAGGAGTGGACAAGATTACCTGGGAAGATTATGTACAGTGAGAAGAGAGCCTAGTTTCAAAGAAACTCCAATATTTAAAAGACAGGTGGAGGAGAAAGAAGAGCCAGCAAAGAGAATGAGAAGTTAAAGGAGATATCAGAAGAAATCAAAGAGAATGTGGTACCCAGAAAAAGTGTCTCAAAAAGGAGAATTGTTTTAAATGTGAAATGTAATTAGGAGGGCAAGAAAGTTAGAACTAAGATATGACCTTTGTGAATACTGTCTAGAGGCAGAAGAGAAATTAGGTTGGATAGTGAGGTGAGGAAATGGTGAGTTCAAGTATGGACAAGTAGTGTAAGAAGTTTGATTGGGAAAAGGAAGTGAGAAATAGAGCAGCAGTTGGAGGTGAGTTTCTTCAGGCAATAGGAAGCCATTATGAGTTTCTGAGCAAGAGAAGGACACAATGAAAACAAGGCTTTGAGAATGTAGTTTTCACCAGACTTTGAGAACATATTATGTAGCCTGTATATGTTCACACTCTCAAGTTTCATTGCTCTGAGTGCTCACTGCTTCGACTTACAGGAAATGCAGACGTCAAAAGATTCTCCTTCCCCAGGTATATCCAAGGGTCCCTGAGGGTGCTGAAATGAATCAAGTCCTGGTCACTGCTTGCTACCACCACCGTCAGATGCACCCACTCATGGCCAAGCTGTGCAACTGCTGACCTCAAGAGGTCCAAACTGATGCTGCTTATATCTCCTCGCTCCTACCAGTTGGTCTTGATTTTTTTCAAGGGTTGCTGCTGCCAACAGTGCTGCCAGAAGAGGTGTTGCTGCTAGAAAGGATGTGACTTCAGAGCCTCCCAGAGACAGGGACCTGGTTAAGCTGTCCATTGTGCTGGCCTCCATGTAGACTTCTGTTGGTTCACCAAAGCAGAGACTCTCCAACAATGCAAGAAAAACAGTCACTCTCTCTACATGATGTTTACTAACAAGGCTACCAGTCATTAAGTTCTTTCTGTTGCTCACGAAGTTCTCAATGTGCTTTGTTGTTGTTATTGTTAGGTGCCGTCGAGTCAGTTTCTGCTCACGGTGACCCAATATACAACAGAATGAAACACTGTCCGGTCCTGTGCTCGCCTCACAATTCTTGCTATGTTTGCGCTCGTTGTTGCAGCCACTGTGTCAATCCATCTCGTTGAGGGTCTTCCTCTTTTTCGCTGACCCTCTACTTTACCAAGGATGATGTCCTTCTCCAGGGACTGGTCCCTCCTGATAACATGTCCAAAGTACATTAGACGAAGTCTAGCCATCCTTGCTTCCAAGGAGCATTCTGGCTATACTTCTTCCAAGACAGATTTGTTCGTTCTTCTGGCAGTCCATGGTATATTTAGTATTCTTCACCAACACCATAATTCAAAGGCATCAGTTCTTCCTTGGTCCTCCTTATTCATCGTCCAGCTTTCACATGCATATGAAGTGATTGAAAATACCATGGCTTGGGTCACGAGCACCTTAGTCCTTAAAGTGACATCTTTGCTTTTTAACACTTTAAAGAGGTCTTTTGCAGCAGATTTGCCAAATGCAATACATCATTTGATTTCTTGACTGCTGCTTCCATGGGTGTTGATTGTGGATCCAAGTAAAAAGAAATCCTTGACAACTTTACTATTTTCTCCATTTACCGTGATGTTGCTCTATGTGCTTTAGCTCATTTAAATCTCACAACTCTCTGAGGTGGGTATGATTATTAATTATCATTCCCATTTACAGCTGAGGAAACTGAGACGTGGGGAAGGGATGTAACCTGGTCAAGGTCACAAATCTAATCAGTGGCAGAGCTGGGGTGCATATGCAGACAGGTTGGGCTGCAGATGCCAAGCGTAAGCAGTACTCTATGCTGCCACTTTGTGCCAAGACTGCCTCAGCTGCCCACCAGTCTCCCCTTTCCCTATCGTGTGTTCTCTTCTTGACCTTTTTTCTGAAATTTTGCCACGGATTTTACCCCAGCTTATCAGAAGTATTTTCATAGCTGGTTTTATGGTGGGGGGGAATTGTCTCAATCCCTTAGTCCTATTAAATTAGTGAGTACAAATAGATCCACTGTAGAAGGGGAGATGGCTAATTCCACTCACCAGCAATAGCAAAGCCCCAGATCAGACAGGATGCAAATGTATTCAGGACTCAGGGTGGCCTGTTATCTACCTGGAGTCCCTGGGTGGTGCAAATGGTTAACATGCTCCCTTACTAACTGAAAGGCTGAAGGTTCGAGTCCACCCAGAGGCTTTTCCGAAGAAAGGCCTGACGATCTACTTCCAACAAATCAGCCGTTAAAAACCCTAGGGAGCACAGTTCTATTATGATGCACATGGGGTCACCATGAGTCAGAATCAATTCAACTGCAACTATTTTGTTTTGTTTACTGGGTTATCTAACTAGTCCTACCAGGAACACAGGGCCAGGGCTCCTACCTGAAAGAAATGTCCTGTTAGCAGAATACTGATCTGACCTAGATGTGTTGGATGAGTTGGAGTCACCCTCCTTACCCATGTAAGAATATCACTAGAGTGCCTGCTACGTTGCCTGCTAACCAAGCAGAAAACTCTAGGCCCCTGGTAATCAAACCATGTTTACCTTTTCTCTTTATAGAGATATTTCAAGAACAAGGATCCATTCTCTGCCTAGCTATGGCTTAGAAAATCTTAAGAAGCTGAGAGCCAGGTCAACTTACAACTTAAAAAAGCTTCCCAGTTTGGACAAATTTGTCACGCTCATGGAAGCCAGCCTCACCTACCCCAGCCACTGCTGTGCCTTTGCCAACTGGAGACGGCAAAGGTGAGTCTTCTTATTTCCTTCCCCTGAGCCCTGCTTGGGCATTGCCCCAGTGCAGAAGCTGATCCACGGCTTCTACGAATCTGTGGCATGACGACAATCAACTTCCTGAGAGACCACCCTGACTGAAGCCCTTGAAGATCTCTACGTGGCATCTATCTTTTCTCTCGACTTGTGCTTGCTTTTCTCTGTGTCTGCTCTGCTCTTTCTCTATCTCAAAAGTCATTAGGTTTAAGACACGCCCTACACTGATATGTCATCATTAACATAATAAAGAAAACCCTATTCCCAAATGGGATTACATCCACCACAAGTGTAAGGGGTAGGATTCCAACGCATATTTTGGGGGGACACAATCTAACCCATAATAGGGTACAAGATCACTACCTTCTAAACTGACCCTGGATGAGTTCCCAACTCATGAGACTTAGAATTTGCCAAGGCGCTGCAGAGGCAAGACTTTATCTCCCTCAGTTTCCACTTTTGCTTCTGTTGTTTTCTCAGAGATATATATTGGTTACCTTGTCCCCACTCATATCATTGGGTCACTTCTGTTTTATGAAAGGGAACCATCAATATGTAAAAATATTGGTAGTAGGATCAACAATAAGAATCTTCACAGAGTCCACCCTAAGCCCTGGGAAGTGAAGATGGTCTCTGAAGGGTTAAACTGGATCCAGTTTCAATAAACCGAATCATAATCGGCAGGCACCCGGTTACTTAATTTCCATTCCTAGAATTGAGGCACAGCTAGTCCAAGGATAGGATTGAAGTCAGGAGTTAGATTTAGGACAAGAGAATGGCCCTCTTGTTGCCTTCTGTGCCCACTTCTGAGCTTGCTTCGCCTTTCTTGTAAGATCTCTGACTCAGCCCAGAGACTTCCTGCACTCTGGTTTCCATTCACACTCAATTAACCAGTTGCCACTGAGTCAGTTCTGACTCATGGCAACCCCGTGTGTGTCAGAGTAGCACTGTGCTCCAGAGGGCTTTCAATGGCTTGTTATTTTGGAAGTAGATCACCAGGCCTTTCTCTGGAGCCACTTCTGGATGGACTTGAACCTCCAACCTCTCAGTTAGCAGCCTAGCATGTTAAACATCTACACAACCCAGGGACTCTCCAGTCAACTATGATTGGTTTGAGAAGCCTTATCAGTCTCTAAAATAAAAGATGACACATTCCCCAGCAAAGAAAGAGTCCCTTGGGCCAAGGGAAAATGACTTCCTTCCTGACAATTCCCTTCCTGGAGGGGAGAGAAGAGAGGAAAGGGTTCTCCCTCAGTGGCTTCTTCTCATCAACTTTGAGGGTGAAAGGCTTAGTTCACATAACTTGGGACACTTAGCCAGCACTCACCCTTTATGATTAAATGGAGCCTTTACCCCTTCTACTCCCCAGTCACCACCCTCCTCATGGTGGTGGTCTTTGAAGGGTTTTAACACTCATTTCCCCACTCAGATGCGAGATTATGGGGTTTGAGAGAAACATAATTATTTAACATTGCTGTGAATTTGTCCCTCAGGGAGGGGTGAAGGAGGTGTGTGTGTGTGTGTTTGTGTGTGCGTGTGTGTTTGTGACTTTTTTCCATCCAAAATGAGCCCCTGTGTGAAACAGTCCCATTCCTTTAGCCTTTGCTTCAAAACAAAACTATTACCTTTTCTTTCTCTACATGCATGATCCATCTGTCTGGGTAGAATATTTATCATTTGGCTTTAATTCAAATCCCTTCTGAAAGTGTCTCTTCCCTGTTGACAAAGCTTCTTGTACATTTGAGTCTAAAGGGAAAACCAAGGCAGGAAAGTGAGACCAAGAAGCACCAGGCTCCCCAGGGGATGAGTTAGTCTTGGAATAAATTAGGCCCCTGTGCAACCTGCATTTGCTCTTTTGGGCGCCCACCAGGGAACTATTTAATATGAGAGAGCCAGGCTTACCTTTCAGACTGATGCATTCTTGAGGCCTATTGTGGCCCCTGGGGAATGAGATGATAAAGAACAGGACCCTCCATAATACTTTAGGCAAATTAGCTGGCCTCCCAGCATCCTGAGGACCAAAGATTCAGCGTTTCCAAGGGACAGGGGCTGGCTGGGAGCTAGCCACACACTCCAATCCTTTAAGTTATATGGATGAAAGAAGCAAAAACGTTCTCATATGTGTCAGAAAACAGTTGAGATCTTCCAGTGGTGGAGTATAGAGTGGAAGAATAGGGGTATGTCCTACCAGGCACAGTAAAAGACAGCTCAATGGAGAGTGGGTAGGGGAAGGGTGGAGTTGATACCAGGTCTGTAAATTATTTGCACTTAGCAGCAAGGCTTAGCTAGTCCCAGGCGCCTTCCTCCCCACATTCAGGTTGTGGGCAGATGGTTTCCCCAATGGGCTGTCCGACTCTAGGAATATATACACTGGCTGTTGTGTTCATTTACAGTAAGCAGCATTAACCCTTGTGCTTTATCTCAAGGGCAGAGAAGCTGCTCGAAACAAGAAAACAAATTCTCAGGAAGAAACCCCATCATTTCTACCCTGAGTAAAGACAGTGATGTATTTGCCCTTCTGAATCCAGGATGTTGATTCTATTCCTTTTTGTATTTTTCTAGCTCTGAGCTTCATCCAATTTGCAACAAATCTATTTTAAGGCAAGAAGTTGATGATTTGGCTCAGGCTAGGGGTCAGAGAGTCTCTTTGACAGAAGATGATAAGTCCAGTTACGGCAGAGGATTTGACCTGATGTATAGTGAATTGGACTATGACTTATGTAATGAAGTGGTTGACGTGACCTGCTCCCCTAAGCCCGATGCATTCAACCCATGTGAAGATATCATGGGGTACAACATCCTCAGAGTCTTGATATGGTTTATTAGCATCCTGGCCATCACTGGGAACATCGTAGTGCTGGTGATCCTGATTACCAGCCAGTACAAACTCACTGTCCCCCGGTTCCTTATGTGCAACCTGGCCTTTGCTGACTTCTGCATTGGCATCTACCTGCTGCTCATAGCATCTGTTGATATCCACACCAAGAGCCAATACCACAACTATGCCATTGACTGGCAGACTGGAGCAGGCTGTGATGCTGCCGGCTTCTTCACTGTCTTTGCCAGTGAGCTCTCAGTGTACACCCTGACAGCCATCACCCTGGAAAGATGGCATACCATCACCCATGCCATGCAGCTGGACTGCAAGGTGCAGCTCCGCCATGCTGCCAGTGTCATGCTGGTGGGCTGGATCTTTGCCTTCGCAGTTGCCCTCTTGCCCATCTTTGGCATCAGTAGCTACATGAAGGTCAGCATCTGCCTGCCCATGGATATTGACAGCCCCTTGTCACAACTGTATGTCATGTCCCTCCTTGTGCTCAATGTCCTGGCCTTTGGGGTCATCTGTGGCTGCTACACCCACATCTACCTCACAGTGAGGAATCCCAACATCGTGTCTTCTTCTAGTGACACCAAGATCGCCAAGCGTATGGCCATGCTCATCTTCACTGACTTCCTCTGCATGGCACCCATCTCCTTCTTTGCTATCTCTGCTTCCCTCAAGGTACCCCTCATCACTGTGTCAAAGTCAAAGATCCTCCTAGTCCTGTTCTACCCCATTAACTCCTGCGCCAACCCTTTCCTCTATGCCATCTTTACCAAGACCTTCCGCAGGGATTTCTTCATTCTGATGAGCAAGTTTGGCTGCTACGAAATGCAAGCCCAGATCTATAGGACAGAATCTTCATCCACTGCCCACAACTCCCATCCAAGGAATGGCCACTGCCCTCCAGTTCCCAGGGTCACCAATGGTTCCAGTTATACACTTGTCCCTCTAAGCCATTTAGCGAAGAGCTAAAACACAACGTGAAAATGCATCAGTGTTGAATGACAGTTCGGTCTTGCCTTTGAAGAGTATGTCATGGGATAGCTGCCGGCATGCTTCCACATACTTCATCTAATTTAATCTTCCTGGCACACCTATAAGGTAAATTGGTCAGCAACTACTAACGCCATGTGATAGATTAGGAAGCTGAAGTATTAATAAAACAATTACAGTAACTAAAATAATACGATCCTGCATTTGTTTTATGCTTTATAATGTTCAAGTTACTTTCATTCAGATTGTCTCAACTGGTCCTCATAAAAGCTCTATTACCCAAGCAGGACAGGGGTTATTCTTGGAGTTTTACAGTTGAGGAAACCAAGACTCGCAGACTTTAAATGACTTGTTCAAGATGGTCTGGTTTGTAGGGGCAGAGCCAATGCTATGTGTCCTCACTCCCAGGGAACTGTCAAAAGAAGGAGCATGGTATTCATTCATTCAACAGGTATTTATTGAGCACCCATGTGACAGCTTCATATTGTGTCAACTTGGCTAAGTTGAACTACATTTCCAAAATTCCTCTTTCTTTCGTGTTTATGGTCAAAGTGGGCCACAAGAACAATAGGCAGGTAGAAAGGAGGCAGCAGCCATTTTGTAGCTCACACACTTGTGGCTGATCAGCTGATTCAGCTCATTGGCAGGACGCAGCAGCTGAGCCTGCGATTGCTTCACCTTCCCATGGATTCCCCTTCAGGGTCTCTGACTCCAGGTGTGTGTGTTTAGCTCCATGATGAAGCTCCCAGTTTCTGCAGGATATTTTTGTCACCAAAGTCAGAGGCAACAATTGTGGGTTTTAGTGTGCTTGTGGTCTTCCCTCCCTGCCTGCCTGTGGACATCAAGCTCCAGCATCGCATGTGGAGACACATCTTTACAGAGACTGTTTAACCACCCCCACAACTGCGTAAACCAATTCCCTGTAACAAATATATTGTTGTTGCTGTTGTTACCAGCCGTCAAGTTGGCCCCCAACTCATGGCGACCCCCTGCACAATGGAACGGAACACTACCTGTTCTGTGACATCCCATGGGTGGTTTCAGAGGAGACTATTGTGATCTGTACTATTTTCATTGGCTAATTTTTGGAAGTAGATTGCCAGGTCTTTATTCCTAGTCCATCTTAGTCTGGAAGCTCCCCCTGAAATCTGCTCAGCATCATAGCAACACACAAGCCTCCAGTAATAAACAGATGGTGGCTGCATATGAGGTACATTGGCTGGGATTTGAACCCAGGTCTTGCCTATGGGAGGGAAGAATTCTACCACTGACCCACCACTGCCTCATAATATATATATGTGTATATATATATATATATATATATATATATAGTCAATTCTCATTTTTGCAGTTGTTATGTTCTACAAAGTTGCAACAAACACTGAATTAGGGACTACTGAACCATTGCCCCTATGGGAAATGCTGGGATGCAAGGTTAGGTTCCTGGGAGCCTCTGGTCACAACATTTTCGTCAACTGATGAATACAAAATCTTCCTTTATGTGTATTTCTGTTTAAAAACACTAGATACATATATAAAAACACTGTAATGAACATATACATATTCATTAATGATGACTCATTAACATTGAACTCACAGCCAACAGCACCATAACTCATGCATGGCCAAAGCTTATCTAACACACGTGTTTTCTCCATAAGGCACATCATAGCCTTCTTCTGCTCACAAACACTCACCCTGGATCTGCTCCCATGTCTTTCTCAAATTTCCACCCACAGAAATCTCCTTCAGCCCTGTCCTTGCCAGCCTCTCATATTGCTTTCCTCCCCTCACCCCTTCCTTAAGATTCTTCATCACTGAATCTCAAGGACCAGTCAGCCAAGGCAGGGTCTTCCCTGGAGTGGTCAGAGGAAAGAGACTAAATGAGTAAATCCAGAAGGTTTAAGGGCAGAGTGAAGAGATGAACTGGGTGCACACATTGACAAATGATGTTTATCTTGCCACATACAGAAGCTGTCATGGGTGGTGTGTGGCACCCCAGGTTGCTGTTTCCATATAGGGTTCCATGTGCTAAACCCTTCAGACATCATTTCTGGAAGAGATAAAGGAAGAGAGGGAGAAATTCCAAGATGCTGCAGATCTGACCTAAAGTGGCATTCTTACGTAGGCCAGTGTCATGTAGCATTTATTAGAAAATCAGAGAAAGACTGTCTTATTCTAATGTCATGGCCACAAGCTTTCGGTTCATAGAATGTTTCATTTTATTAGCAAAATCTATAAAGGCACAAGCAAGGAATGAACTTTCAGCTTCTGCATAGTGGGGAGCATTGGAGGAAAAAGACATGTCCACAGATATAGGATGTTTTGTTTGCTTGTTTAAAACATAACTGAATCCATGAAAAAAACTAAGTAAGAATCCGCACAACATAGAGCCCAAACATGAGGTCATGTTGTTGGTTCTCATCAAAATATTTCCAACTGCAAGATGCAGAAACTCCAAATACAATGGCTAAGGCAATAAGGCCAATTACATAAGAGTTTCCAGGTCTGGACTGGCAGCTCAGTGATCCAGAGGTCCCAGGGACCTTCCGTCTTTTCGCTCTGCCATCCTTAGAGTGTTCAGCAGTGTTCTCTCTCGCTGTAGCAAGGTTGCTGTAGCAGTTCCCACCCCCACGTCCAGGCACGACCAAATCCAGAAACAAAGAAGGGAAGTCTTTCCCTTCGTGCTTCTCTTTTCAAAAACAAAAAAGTTCCTCCTCCAAGATCCCCCGCAAACATTTGTCCCACCCATTACCCAAGATTGCTGCCCTGGCTGCAAGAGAGGCAGTAAAATGAGCATCTGCCATATTCACCCTCTGTGGTGGGAGGTGGGATCTGCCAGCCAGGAAGATGGGAGGGGATGCTGGAAAAGGGAGAATGGTCAGATACGCAACTTTATCCTCCAACCTGAGTCAACCTAAATCCTCTTCTATGGAATGAGGCCTGTGGGGTTGAAGGTTGGATACATACGGCACCTCCACACCTCACATTTCATGTCCTCATCCCTCTCTGCCTCCACCTATAGCCTTTCGGCCAGCTCTTCCTCCCCATGGTAGTCTGCTCTACCTTCCTGGTCCAAGCTCTAGATGCTGTTTAGATCTGAAGGTCACCACTGGAGTCAGACATTCCAAGAAATCCCCTGTTAGAGGTCAGGTATGGGAAAGAGGAAAGAAGAGAGGGAAAAGAAAAGAGAACAAATAAAAGAAATGGACTAGAATAGGAAGAGGGAAATCGAAGGAGAAAAGAGAGAGCGGAGGAAGGCAGATGAAAGAAAGGTGCAATGTCTCTTTGTGCTGGTGTCGACTGCGCCCCTTCGTGCTGGTGTTGACCGTGTCCCTTTCTGCTGGTGTTGACCGTGTCTCTTTGTGATGGTGTCGACCGCGCCCCTTCATGCTGGTGTCGACCGTGTCTCTTCGTGCTGATGTTGACTGTGTCCCTTTCTACTGGTGTTGACCGTGCCCCTTTGTGCTGGTGTTGACCGTGTCCCTTTGTGACGGTGTTGACCGTGCCCCTTTGTGACGGTGTTGACCGTGCCCCTTTGTGATGGTGTTGACCGTGCCCCTTTGTGATGGTGTTGACCGTGCCCCTTTGTGACGGCGTTGACCGTGCCCCTTTGTGCTAGTGCTTCCCCAACTCTGTCTTAAGAAAATTTTTTCAATGAAGAGCTCAATTCAAAACGGTAAATGTAGAAAGGCCCATTGGTCATTGTGTGATGTTCTAGATTTCTCTGTGCCCCAAGACTAGGTTGAAGGATGAGTAATGAAAAAATATTTCTGCAGGTCTTCAAAGCCTCCTCACTTCAGACACCAGACAATATAAGAACAGCTTGATTCTTTCCGTAAGCTACGGTCTTCATGCTAGTTTATTTCCCTCCAGTAGTATTATCCACTATCCTCCAGAGCATTCTGTTCTGGGATAGATGTGCCTCCAAATGTGCTAAATGCCAAAGTTTGTAAAAGCATTTTCTTTGTGTTCTTGCTTCCTTTTCTTCTGTTTCCTTCAAAACACAGGATTCCTTTAATCCTGTAGCATTCCTTATAAACACAAAGGAGAAGAATATCATAAACATCATCTTATTCTCAGTGATATTTTCCACATAATAAGATGCAGAGAGCATTCTGGGCTCTGCATTTAGAGAACTTTCAGGCAATTTTTCCCGCATGTATCATTAACTAGGGTCCTTTAAACGGCCAGGTATTAATGAGCTGCATAAAGATGTGCTTTGGCCAGGGATGGTTTTAAGTTGTTTCATAAACCACACAGACTATACCACAGGGTTCCTGTCTCCACAGAATGACTCCACCAAATGTCTATGTTCCTAGTACGGAAATCAAGCAGCCAGTGTAAGCGAAGGTGAAGGGGGCCCAGGGAACCTGATGAGACTTTGGCAACCCAAGTAACTCATTTTTTCCTGACATTTACGGAGTTAGAAGACATTACGCCCAGGGGTTGGAAGCATTATCCTCCTCTGTCCTTGCAAGCTGGACAGCATGAGCCTGGGAAGTGTGAGAATTGTGGCGAGCACCATCCACTACCCAGGCAGCCTGGTTTGCCTCTCCACTGCACGCTCCCATGAAACGTCAGGACTGCAGGGAACTAAACCGAAAAACAAACAGTTGCCGTTGAGCTGATGCCAACTCATGGCAACCCCATGTGTGTCAGAGCAGAACTGTGCCTCATAGGGTTTTCAATGGCTGATTTTTTTGGAAGTAGATCGCCAGGCCTTACTTCCATGATGCCTCTGGGTGGACTCAGACTTCCAACTTTTCGGTTAGTAGCCGAGTGCATTAACCATTTGCACCATTCAGGGACTCCAAAGGAAACTAGGGGCTTATGTTACCCGAAGTTCTCATCTCAAGATGTAAAATCAAAGGCCCAAAGAGGGGAAGTGACTTGTCCAAGGTCATACAGCTAATAGTGACCAAGCAAGGACCATACAGCTGTGGCTGCAACTTCCAACCAGAGCTCTTCCTTATAATTCCCTCGAGTCAAGGGGCTTGGGAGGGCACACACATGCACACACACA